TACGGAGAACTATATAGAACATGTAAAAAAATTCGATAGTGATCGGATGATTTGTTTTTGAGTAATCACTGCAGCAAACTCGGAAAATGCTGTTTCGAGAAAAACGCGTTTCAAGATAAAATGATCGTTTTCACTCGTAGATGATGAGACTCTCTAGCTGCCAAGCGGCTGCTCCTTAAATTGCTATAACTCAAAAACTATTTCAGATATCGATTTGAAATTTCAATATGTTATTTTTAAAGGTGTAATCTACCGAAATGTGAAAAAGATCACACTAGGTGTGCCCCTTAACTTCATCTGGCTACATTACCATTTGGATATCCAAGCGGCTAACGAACCCAACCCCAGATCTTTAAATTTTGCATCAGGGTATTGATGAAGTCTTCAATTAGTTTGCAGCGGTGGAGATAAGAGACAAGCTAAAACGTAACATGCACGAAGCAGGGAGATGTTAGAATTATTCCAGGTGTATTCATGGGTCATACAATTCTTACAAGCACTGTAAGTGGATTCGCTAGACGCAATGGTGAAGCGCCAACTTTAAGAGGCAGCATAGCTTAATCTGCTCTTCACAGGCATAAATTATTTGATAATTTGAAAAATGTTATCTCGGGTAACACTAAACCGATTAGTTCGAGTTAAGACGCGTTTCAAAGGTGACATTTTAAGCGATTTCGGTGAAGACATCAGCAAATCGTCATTGGTGTGAGTACTTATTCTGATTGGAAATCGAGTGAAATTTCAGATGAAATACTTCATTAAAATGTTGCTTTTTTGGTTTAAGACAATGAAAAATCGTTGTAAGGACGAGCCATAAATCATATGTGTGGGTAACCGTGAGAATAATGTAAGTGTATGCTAGACTCAGAAGGCTTTTGCTCGAGTCTGTTGCACGAATTTTGATGTCTGAGACTACATTCTGGTTAGCCAATCCTTCAAAGGGCCGATGAAAACGTGCAAATGGTAAAGCAAGATCGGCTTGCGAGATAACAGAATATAATAGAGACTCTAGACATCACTCACGTTATAGTTAGGAATACTTCAAATAAGGTTGGCTACTCAAAAACGCTCGATGTTTGGGACAATTAAAGTTAAGCAAAAAAATGGTGTGAGCGATTTTTTAACAACAGTGCAATGCTTATAAAACACAACAAAAACGAACTGAAACGGTGCGTTTCGAGCGAAGGAAAATGGGTTAGGTACGCGACCAACCAGCAGAAAAACTAAAATCCGAAATCCGGGGGACCCTGTATAAATAACGTGAAAGCCAGAATTGACACTAACTGGGGTGATGCTGAGTGTATGGTGTGATCGGAAGCAAATTTTCCATTATGAGCTGTTACAAGCTAGGGAAACGAGCAATTCTATGCTCTCCTATCAGCAGTTGATTAAGAGTAAGTAAAAGTCTTATAGAATTCATCAATAGAAAAATCTTTGTGTTTCATGGTGAAAACCCCAGATCTGGTCTAACATGACCAGCCGAAAATTGAGAAGGTTTTTTTTCGAAATTTTTGTTGTACCGCCCATATAGCCTGGATCTTCTAATGGTAGACTAACATTTGTTTCAATCTCTCTCAAAATTCTTTTGATGATGACAAAATTGGATAACCATTGCATAACCATAAGAGTTGCTGCAAATCATTTGGACAACTTATTTGCCAACAAACCGCAGAAGTTCGACGTTGAAGGAATTATGAAGCAACCTGAAAAATATCAGTAGATCCTAAATAATAAAGGGTTACATAAAATAAATTTTAATAAAAAAAAATGTTTTTTAAAATATTAAAAGCAAAAGATAAAAAATAAAAAAGGAAATCGGTCATTTTTACTTATCTATTTTGAAACAAACACAAGGCTGAGTGATTATTGGTCTGTTGTCTCAAAGTGTTGTGGCTTCGAACCACATTTGCATATAAAATTTGAGCAGCTCATATATTAAATACTCATAAATTGTTTATATTTACTTATATATGTATAGCCCAAAATCGGCGTCTGCATTTAGTTTAAAAGGGTTTTGAATTATTTAACATATTTTGAAATACTTTAGGGTTATATATTACATACGCGTATATACATTTTAATAGTAAATCTTCTCCTATTAGCAGCGTAATTCGGAAGTTAAAGAAATTTCTTAAGGCGACTCATTAAAGATTCATCAGTTTTTGCTATGTCAAAACAGTCAAAGAGTCAGTTCTTGAATGCGGGTATCTAACTTAGCCGTAAGCCACAACAACAGCAATACTAGCGGAAGTGGTTGTTGGTATATACGAGTATATGTAAAGCGCTTGCCAGCTGGCAACTGACAATAGAGGAAAAGCTCATACAAATGCTCTGCTTATGGCATTGAAGGGTAGTGGAAATCAAAAAAAAAAAAAAAATAAATAAAAATAACAAGAAAGAAATGCTGCCTACGGCCAGGCTGAAGCCTTTATACCTTTCATGAGAACATAACAAATTTATTGTATTGCATCTGGTTGGCTCCGAAAAATGTTTACAAAAATGTAAAAATACATCTGAGCCCCTAATGAGAGACATATGGACAGACGGAAAATAGCAGTATATATTTTGGTGTTCTCCTTCTGGTGCTTCCATACTACGGACCAAAATCAATATGTGTACCACTTCATGTTCATGAAGGTATGCAAGTATTTCTTTATGGTAGTCCATGTATGAAAGTCTTTTTAAGCCTCATATGTACGTATATGTCAACGTTATATTCTGCTTCAATTACACACTTCGACGCTCATTAATAATTTACAAATCCATATTAATTCCTCATTTTACGCGACTGCCAAGTGAAAGCGTTGAAGTTATTTATATTATACTCACTGACACGTACATACGCATACACAAGTATGTACGTGTATGTTGTTTATAAGCATTTATGCGTGTATTTGTTGATGTGCGCCAAATGTTAATGGAGCGTAGTGGTTGCGCACCCTCAGAGCCTACGAAGTACAATGGCACCAATGCTTGACGTTTGTATGCAAATTAATATACTCGTACATGCATATGTATACTCGTATAGGCAAGTGTTGTTTATATATTATATATTGTGAGTGAGTGTTAATGTGAGTGTTTGTATAATTGTCTCTGAGTGTTCGTGCTTGCGGAATAATTGCTTTTAAGTGTTTTTGGTATAAAATAAACAACAGAGTCTAATTGCATAATTGCAGCTAGCGTTAAGTACCTTATCATGTTGTTGTGAATAACTAAGTGCAGGCGCCGGTATGTGGTGGTGGTGGTGGCGGTGGTGGTGGTGGATGGTGTGTGAGTTTGATTGTTATTACTGTGCAATGCTGCCAACCAACAAACCGACCAACCACTCAACCACTCAACCACTCATGCATACTTCCGCTTGACTAGCTCACTCATTCACTTTTCTGCTCATACATTAACACTCTCACACTGTCAAACAGCATTTACATATATGAATATGCGGAAAACCCATACACACACATACCATTAGTTTGCTCTCGCTTGTTGCGTTGTTACGTATACGCCGTGTAACCAACACTTCTCCTGCTTCTCTTCTACGCGGTTGCCTTTGCCATTGTGCGGTGTGCACTCGTGTATGTGTTTATGTATTTATGCATTTCAAAAAAATACGACGGAACTTATTTATTTAATTTGTATATTGTGGCAATGTGAAATATGACACAATCTGCCGTTGCTCAAACGTAAAGGAAACGAAAAACGACTGCAGTACGAGTTGGTCCTGAGATTGGGTGGGGGTTCGCCAGCATTGCCATTGCAGTGGCTACAACTGCAGCGCTTCCTGTAATATTAACATATATATGTATGTGTAGTATTGACATACAAAATTTTCAACATTAATTGCAATTCTCACGTGAATGCGTTGCTATGTTCGTTCGTTTGTTTTCCATGGCTGTTGAGTGTTGAGCGCAGCGAAGTACAGTAGTTGAAACATTTTAAATTCCATAATAAAATCATGTTCTAACTATATTTAACCATATTACTATGAATACTTATATTCTTATCCATGCTAATATTTCTAGTTTTCTTTATATTCATATTCATATTCACATTCATATTCAGATTCAGATTCATATTCATACTCATACTCATACTCATATTCATATTCATATTCATATTCAGATCCATATTCATATTCATACTCATACTCATACTCATACTCATACTCATACTCATACTCATATTTATATACATATTCATATTCATATTCATATTCATTCATATTCATATTCATATTCATATTCATATTCATATTCATATTCATATTCATATTCATATACATATTCATATTCATATTCATATACATATTCATATTCATATTCATATTCATATTCATATTCATATTCATATTCATATTCATATTCATATTCATATTCATATTCATATTCATATTCATTTTCAGATTTATATTCACATTCATATCAATATTCTTATTCAAAATTTGTTTGCCATTTTCCGCACACTGTTGACAACTCCCGTGCCTGGAGTGCCATTACTACAGATGTTGTTAGTGGCATGTGGTTGCTGCAGCATGTGTTGCGCTATTTTACGTTATCCGCTTTGTTTGTGGTGAACGCAAAAGGAAACAGCAATTAAACGCTCTCCACTTGTGGTCAAAAACACACATACACATGCATTCGCACTCAAACAAACACAGCATACACAATTCCCCACCAATACTCATACAGGCGAATGTAGTTCTGCTCATACTCGCATAGCCGTAGGAAATTTCGTTACTGTAATAACGCAAGCAAGCAGTAAGAACTGCAGTAGTACCACTTGAACATCATACTAGGCTCCATTCAGTACTCGGCGGACAAGCAGTAACGAAGTAACCGAATTATCAACCAACCAATTTCTTGCTATACTTGTGCATCTCTGCATCGAGGCATTAGCTATTCAGTTGGCCAGCTGGCGAGCCTACCACTGGTGTTTCTGCTAACTTGGCCAGTCGTCAGACTCTTGTGCTTGTACTTGCCACACCAGAAGCATCCTTGTTAAGTATGTCGTTCTGGCCCTTGCTTGCCTGTTTGCGTGACTATTGCGCTAATTGCTCCTTGGCCGGCATCAGCTACATTGCCAATAACAAGTAAGTACCTACGACGAACTCTTGCAAGTTTACGTACGAGAATACACATATTCTGCTGGCATTCATACATCTGTGTAGGCAGATGTGTGGCCGGCCACTGGCATAAAGCGCATAAATAGATCTAAGGCCATGCATAACGCAAATTGCACTGCTACTTAACACCTAAGGCTGCTTCAAGTGATGCTTTTCGCCGCGCTCTACGCCCCTCCTAAATGGAAACTTATTTATCCTGCTGTGCGGCGTTTCCTTTTTGTGTTTTCCTTGTTTTACACATATTATGGACTCATACCTTTTAATCTTACAGAATTCTATTAACATATTTCTTTACCCAACAGATTGCATATTAGCGAGCGTGTCTTCTGGCTATTCTGCGTCATTATGTCCGCCTTCGGTTCGTACAAACTTATTTCAACATTTGAACGAGACTTTGAATCATCCGCAGTGAGTATTGTTTTCGAGAGCTTAACTCCTTACGATGCGATTTATTTTCCGAGTGTGGCTGTATGTGAGACGCTGGAAAAGGATGGTACCACACCCGCTGTTGAGGAGTATATAGAAAGGTATGTAGGATGGAACACTCGAGGTTTTCTATATTAATATCATTCACAATTATACAATATATTGAAAGTTAATAGAAGTACTAAACAGTTATAATTATATAAAATGACAGCATAAAAATTAAAATGAAATAAAATAACTAAAATAAAAAAAAAAATAAATTAAAACAAAATAAAATAAAATTAAATAAAATAAAATTAAATAAAAAATAAAAAAAAAAAATAAAAAATAAAAATAAAAAAAAAATAAAAATTAAATAAAATTAAATAAAATAATATAAAATAAAATAAAATAAAATAAAATAAAATAAAATAAAATAAAACAAAATAAATTAAACATATTAAAAAATTAAATAAAGTAAAATGAAAGGAAAAAAATGATAAGAAAAAAATAAAACGTAATAAAATAATTTAAAATGAGTTTTTATCAAATTTGTTTAAATTAAAAAAGAAAATATATAAGAAGAAAGAATAGAAAATAATAATATTGAAATACAAAATATGAGTTATTACTAAGATAAAGAAAAATTACCATAAATTAGAAGTTATATTTGTACTTTTTTTCTTTGGTTTGCTTTCGTTGGACCTTCACTGCAGCACGTATGTATGCATAAAATATTTTTAAATTTATTGCCAATCTCGTTAATATAATATATAATGTAGATAAGCACAGATTTCTAAATAAATTACTTTGTTTTAATATCTCTGATCGTGTTATGAGCCCGCGATCCTCCGCAGTTTTTCCAAAAGCACGGCTATTTGCTCTTCTGCAGCTGCCACGACTTAATTATCATCATAAATTATGAAATGCGACATCAAAGATAATTCTTTTAAACAGCCTTTGGGCAATCGAAATTGCAGCAAGCTGCGCGTTGATGATATTCGCAATAAAGGGAAATTAAAGCAAATGAGATATGAGAAGTTTACGCAATTATACTTTTCTTTCGTTAATAACCAACTTCGGTAGATATGTATGTGTTACTTTGAAGGAAGTAATTGGTATTAAAAAATGAAAAAAGTGGAAAAATTGAAAGGTGGAAAACTTTGAAGAGCCATACATTATCAGACGATTTCAGGTCGACTTTTTTGGCCTAAAAATAAATTCGACAAAAAAAAGATATGCCTAAAACTTTTTTATATAATAATTTTTTTTTCAACCTTTCCTTTTGTTTTCCCAGTTATCCTGAGGAATATGATTATGACATTGAGATATTTGTTTTAAAGCTAATATTTCCACATGAGTACAATACGGGCAATGCAAGGGCGCATTGTTTCGATAAGGAGGGCACAGATGCCGAGTGTCCACATACTGGTCATCGCGCACTCACCGAGAAGGTATCATTTTAGATTATAAGAAGTCACAAATAAGTATTACAAATTTTAAATAAAATTATGAAATATTTTTTTTCCTCAGCTCCATCAGAATTGTACAAACGTTTTGCTAGAATGTTCGCTTGGTAGTAGAGCCTTCAACTGCTGTCATTACTTTAGACCAATACTCACGCCGTACGGTTACTGTTTTCTGCTGAACTCAATGCAGAATAATCATCCGTAAGTTAATATCTTCTTCATTAACTCAATTTTTTTTTTTAATTTTAAAGTACTTATAAATTAGTGAAAGCTCCTGAAGATTCTTAGAAAGATTTTGAAGTTTGATGGGACTGGAATTTTCATAGCTCGGCTTTAGTTTAAGTGGTCGATTGGGTTATAGACAATTCCTAGCCGTAAAGGAATAATTTGATACGTGAAGAAATAGTTCGATTAAAGGGCCGTAGATTAGTAATGAGCTTGGATCAACCTCGTTGCTGTATTAACAGGTCCATTCATTTTAACAAACTCCACGCTTGCTCGTCTGAAGCAAATAAATTTCGGTAATTTCCCAAGAAGTAGATAGATGAGTGAAACCGTAGTCTTTGAGTCCAGAGTAGCTCACTATGTCGGCAAGATGAAAATATAATACCGAATAATGAGAGCTATACTCCAGGTGGTATGCCTAAAACTGAAATTCAGCTCCCAGCATAAGGAGGCGAGACTATCTCCAAACCGGTTGTAAAGCCGTCAGATACCGTAAACCGGCTCCTAGACACATGAGAAGACTAAGTCAGTGTAAAGGTAGAAAATCCACTTCTTCTGAGAACCAAAAAAGGAAGTGTTATGATTCCATGTGGTACCGTGACTACTAGAGACGTTCCAGTTATGCACTTAATGAGAAAAGAAAATCTTTTGAAGCTATGGGACAACTCCAAGCAGCGACTTGTACCTGCTAAAAATGTGCCAAACTTCTAAAGATGCATATATTTTTCAGAGAGAGAGAGTGGGAGAGAGCAAGAGAGAGAGGGGGAGTGAAAGAGAAATAGAGTGGGGGAGAGAGAGAGAGAGGGTGACTGAAATAGAGAGAGAGTGGGGGATTGGAAGAGAGAGAAAGAGAGTGGAAGAGAGAAGGAAGTGAAGGAGAGAGAGAGAAAGAGAGTGAAAGAGAGAGAGAGAGAGAGAGTGAAAGAGAGAGAATGAGATAGTAAGAGAGAGTGACAGATGGGAGACACTTAAGATGGGGATCAAACATCTTACAAAAGACGAGGCCATTGTATTGCATATAGTTCAATATTCCTACCCTCTTCTTCACTATCTGCGTGGTACGGTTCAATATACTTTTACCAACATTTAGTATTAGAACTTAGGGGAATACTTGAGGTCCCTACGCAAGTCCAGCTTAGAAACCTTTAGGGTAGCGGGAATTGCTGACAGGCTAAATAAAATTTTGACTGACAGAAGAGATCGTAAATACATAGAATCTTGATGGGAATTGATTCCCAAATAGTACTCGACGTTCCAAGTTCCAGCCTTATGGAAATGGGTAGTCATGTGTGGAACAATTGTCGAGGAACACTCGGATCCTTAAACTTACCTTTAGTACAGCAATTTCTTCAGATACACATGTGCATTCGAACGGCTGCTGAATTTCTAAGGAGAGAGTTCTACTTAAATAATTCACTCGGAGAACTTTACATTCCCCACCGAGGAATTAAGACGTCAGATTACTGAAAAGGTTTAGAAACTGATCTACTTAATAGAATAACAGTCATCACTAAAATTGTCTATACCTCCGACTAGTAGGTTCGTTAGTCGTTATGCATAGGATTATCTGCCACGAAGACAAACTTGTCGTCGGCTTTTTCCCGATGTGTGTTTATATTTTGTTTCTCTTCAATTTAGCGACAGTCAATATTGGTTCCCCAATGTGGTAGAAGATAACCACGTGACAATGCGTCTGCTCACAGAGGTGGCGGTCGAGGTAAGCTTTGAACGATGAAAACAAATGTCACATAGCTGCATTGAAACTTCGCAGGTTTTCGTAATCAACAAAGAGGATATACCGTATGCCAATTTAGCTGGCATAACAACAAAAGTTGCCACACCCGGCAAGCATACAGACTTTCAACTATCTCTACAAGAGATGGTCAATGATATGGATGTGCGTGAGGTTTCGCCCGAACATCGTGGCTGTCGTTTCCCCGAAGAGGTCATACCGCATTCATCGTTTCGTTTCTACAGTTTCAGTACTTGCATTGTCGACTGCATCGGCGCATTGCAGATGAAATATTGTAATTGTACGATGTTCAATTTAATGCCGACGGCACGTAAGGATCGGCCCGATTGCGATTATAATGGGTTTCTATGTTTGGAGAAGGAAACAAAAGTGGCGCCCGATATTAAGATGCTTCTACCATGGCCGGAGAATAATGAGACGTGCGATTGTTTGCCATCGTGCACTGAGCACGATCTGCGTACGGTTTCCGAGTACAGTCCGCGGTGAGTTTATAGTATGCTGTGGGTTTTGAATAAGAGTGTGTTTTTTCAATCTTCCATATTTCTTTCTTACATTTAAAGCAATCGCAAAGGCGATAAAAGACGCAGCGTTGCCATAAGCCTTGTCGATCGTCCCACAGAGCGCTATCGTCGTCAAGCTTTGCGTACTCGCTTGGATGTTGTGGTTACCATTGGCGGTATATTGGGTTTGTTCTTAGGCGCCAGCATTCTGAGTCTCATTGAGTTTATTTACTACTTTACAATACGCTTTTACAATAACACACGCATGGCAAAAAATAGCAACTCTGTTCAAAGAGCTGTGAAAGCTCAAGGGGATGGCAAGTAAATTCAGTTTTAGCTTAAGCTTTTTGTCTACTAAAAACAGCTTTGATGAAAATTGTACCTTAATGTAAAAGTTTTATTGAAAAAAGGGTAGTCTTTTATGCTAAAAAAATACTTATGTTAAAATATCAGGTGTACAACTTTGCTTCCGCCGTTTTCCGATAGGTGGCTGTACCGGCTGAGGCTGGTTGAAATACATAGATGATAATGCCTTTGAAGTGAGTCTGGACAGTGCCTAACGAATTGTCATTGTCGTTTCAGTGACAGTTGTTCTTGTTTTCGTATTATTCACGCTCTAAAATGTCCGTTTATGTGCCTAATTCTCGGCATTTGCGGGAAGTTTTACTTTTCTGTTACAATTGGAAAGAAAAATGCAGCTGAAGCGCATCGAATGTTCTCAGAAACTTACGGTGATGCTGCTCTGAGTGAGCAGAGTGGTTTCAACGTTTTAAAAATGGTGATTTCGATGTCGAAGACAAACAAGGTTATGATTTGTATTTGGTGGGATCAGCTCGGTGTGATTTACTACGACCTCTTAAAACCGGGTGAAACCATCACAGGAACCGAACGCAACTGATGCGCACCAAAAGAAAAGCGGCCACAATATCAAGAGCGACATGAGAAAGTCATCCTCCAACACGACAATGCTCGGCCTCACGTCGCAAAAGTGGTCAAAAAGTACCTGGAAACGCTGAAATGGGAAGTCTTACCACACCCGCCGTATTCCACAGATGTGGCCCCTTCTGACTTCCACCTATTCCGTTCGATGGCACACGACCAGGCAGATCAACATTTTCAATCCTTCGAAGAATTGGAAAAATGGATTGCTTGATGGATGGCGTCAAAAGAGGACTCCTTTTTTCGAGCCGGGATCCGAAAATTGTCGGAAAGATGGGAGAAAGTTGTCGCTAGCGAAGGACAATACTTTGAATAATATATCTGTAAGCACTTTTTCGCAATAAAGCTTTTAATTTTGGTAAAAAACGGCGGAAGCAAAGTTATGCACTTGATATTAAATATAATTTAAATCATAAATATTATAATATTAGCTTGCGTAATTATTTTTTAATAAAAAAACCAAAAAAAAAGTTGATGCATTTAATACAAAATTCTAAACCCTTCCTTAAAAAGAATTTTTCCAAAAATCCAAGTATATCCTGGCGCTTTGTAACCGTTTAAAGTATTTTTGCCCGAGCTCGTCTTCCGATTTGTGGTTATCCGTTTTGATAATTTTTCAGCAAATGAAGGACGTACTGTTTTCTGTAATTCACCTTCGACCGTCTAATGGATTTCATTGAGGAGCTAATTATTTCATGTCAGTACTATATTCGAAGGGCTTGACACTCTCTGCCGAGGGGAGACCGAAGCTAAAACAATTAATTTTCTATAATTTTAGATGTTGGTCGAGCCAGGACTTGAACTTTGGACTTTTGAATTAATGAAAACATGAAAAATACTATTGTTCATCGTATTGGTAATGAGGTATGTCGGGTGAAGGGACATTTTGATTTGCGGATGTTTCAATGCAAAATAGCAACGGGGATACATATTTCTTCTTCTCCTTTGGCTTTTCACGAGTAGGCTCCGTTATTGAAACCTTCGGTAAGTCGTCACATTTTTTTTCATAGTAAATTTTTATAGTATTACTATCGTCCAGCCCTTCATTTTATACCGCATTATGTACCCTCTCTCTCTCTCGCTCTTTACCCTCATTTTCCTGTTTAACTTTTTGTATCTGTTTCAGACGTTGAGCGTTAAGTTTAGGTACGTTCATAACGTTGCAAAGTAGGCATTCTGCTTTCCCTTCATCTCTCTTCATTCGATATTATCAAACAAAAAAAGAGAAGTTATACCACTGATGACGGTATTCTGGAGCATCATACGACTTCCCACGGTTATTTTATACCGAGTTGTACAAGTTGAGTAGAGAAGTGGTTAGCTACCGGTTATGGTTGCAGCTTTTTTAAGAGCACCCGCTGAGTATACGCGGATGTAACTCGAAGCAAACTCGGGCAGCTTACCGCAGGTTGACTGTCTAGTGGAGTCTTTCTTGTGCTTATAGAGGTGAGGGCGAACCTTGGTGGTATGACCTGATACTACAAAAGTACGCTTACCTAAATTTCAATCTTCCGATTCATTGATTTGATATTAAAGTTAAGGGGTTACATACGTCCAGAATTTTCAAAAAATCGATTTTTTTTTTATAGGTTATTATTCTTTATAGTTTTAGGCATATTTCTGTGAAAGTCGATTGTAAAAATTCCCCATAGATACAAAGTTATGGTAGAAAATCAGACCGCCCGACGAGAGTTTAATGCACACAGGTAGCTGTCCTTCGTTTGAGGCAGCTGGCCGTTTAAACGCGTTTTTCTCGAAACTACTTTTCCCGGCACGGTCTGCATGATAACTCATACAGTTTTTAACATTTTTTGATGCGATTTTTTTTTAAATATTCGAAAATGTTTTCTCTATAGTCTGTCGAGCCGTATTTTCGATATTTTTATTAAAAAATTTTATGAACATAATTAAAGTGTGACATTTATGATGTAAAACGCATACTTTTTTCTAAATTCCGTAAATTGGAAAATTTTTCGAAATTAAAAAATTCGGCTCGACAGACTATAACTACAACTTCATTTTACAAGAATTTTTTTTATTTTTACAGAACCATCAACATTCCAAGGATAAATGATGCAGACCGTGGAGCAACTTTTTTTTTCATTGTACTTTGGGTCACGTGATATTTTATGTACTAATTTTCGTAAAGAAAAATTAAAATACATTTTTTTATAAACTTTAAGTACCAATAAACATTGTATAAAATTTCTTTATATATATTTCTATTGTTATCCCTTCTGAAAACAGTTTTTGTTTTAGCGCATTTTTGGTGCTGCTGGACGTATGTAACCCCTTAATCATATTTTGCCTCCCGCTGTAGTCAGTCTGTCTAAGATCTTGTGAGTCGGGAGTTTCAATTTCCTTTCTGTTGTGTCAAATCTACCTTTACTACTCATTCGGCGAAAAAAGCCATCACTGCAGCGACTTTCAGTGTCCGGTTATTTTGGAGTAAAGCTACCTGCCTTACATTTACTCGCGAACCAGGTCTCCACATCGGTTGCTGCAAGTGGTTCGCACTGCATAAGGATTGAAAAAGTACTTCGTAGCTATGAATTTTGTTAGCCATAAGCAGAAATGAAGCGTTTTGGGTGATCCGAATGACTTTTATGAAATTTTGTGCTTTTCGTGGTCTGACCGCAAACCCATTTGCATACGGTTATCATTTTACGGTGCAGCCCTGGTAATAGTGCTCTTTATGCTACATAATAATTACAGATATCAGTATGTGAAGCGTATGCATGTACATATAATATGTATGTGTGTAGTATATAAATGCGAAAACATTCATTAAAATGGAAAAATCATTAATATTAAAATTAAATGCAAAAATTAAATGACAATAAAACGGTAATTAAATGATTTTATTTTTCAATATGTGACTTTGTGTCCATTGTCCATTGTCAACTTTGTTTAATGGCGTGAGTGTGAATCGGACAGAATTGAATACGTGTAAACTAGTAATCGCCCAACACTGTGAAAACAAAAGCAACTGCAACAAAGTACCGTAGATTGGCCACTTGGAAAATGAAACGGAGAAGAGCGTAGCGTGTCACGCTTTGACGATTTAATAATTGCATTCGACGACTCTTTCTTTCTCTTTCTATAAGCAGAGTTGGAAAGCCATTGCAAATGCTCGGGTGTTGTAATAGCGTATAACAGTATTGAAGTGTTGGAAAGCACTTTGCTATGCCAGTTAAAGGTCTTAAGACACCTGAAGCTCTTTGTTAAATAATTAAATTGAAATGAATAAAGAATGGTGAAAGAAGTGATAACGCAATTACGGAAAATACTTTCTGAATGTGTAGACTGAGAATGCCAATTTCGTATAATCCAATTGCAAACTCGCTGCAATGCAATAGAATTTAATAGAAGATGAGTTCAGGGAAGCTGAAAAGTTGCTTTGAAATTTCAATGATGGTTTCTTTAGAATTTTTTTTTTTTTACGAATTCGATAAGAAAAATCTACAAATTGTAAGCCAAAGCCTTACACAGTGACTTTATTTAGTAGCACCATTATAAGTTTTTATATATTCTTATTTTAATAGAAGACTTTATCGCTCTTTGTTAACAATTACATCGAAAGAAAAACACAGCCACACAGCAAGATATATTTAAAAGCAACGTTGTAAAAAATGAGCAATGCATAATTGCATAATTTTCAGCGAATCTTTAATTTTTTGAAAATTTTTTTAATTTTCAGGAAAAAATACAGAAGTTTGATGTATTTAATATTTGCCCCTTAATAAAATAAATGGATATAACATTCATTTGCAAATGTAAACAACGTCGAATATGTGCATATATAAACAGTGTCTGCTTTTAGGCGCACATTTTACGAAAAATTTAAACTAAATTATTTTCAGCTTGAGAGAATCTAGAAAAAAAATTATTAACATTAACACAAGGTGAAAATATTACAAATGTAATAATATAAGCTGTATTAAATGAATTAATACATAAAAATAAAATAAAATAAATTAAAACCAAACTATCAGATTAAAATAATATAAAAGAGAATATGAAAAAATTATTGGATTAAAATAAAATAAAGTTAAATATACGAAGAAAAATAAAAAAAAAACAATAAAAAAAATTAAATAAAATAAAACAGTACATTGTAACATAAAATAAAAAAACTTACAAAAAATTTAAAGTAATATAAAATAAATAAATTAAATTAAAAAAAAGTTAATTAAATTAAATGCAACAAATTTAATAAATTTAAATATATTGTAAAAAAATAAAACGAAACAAAGGAAGCTAAAAAAAAAAACAAAAAATAAAATTAAATTAAATGCAACAAAATTAAATAAATCTAATAATAATAAAATAATTAATAGTAATAAATAAATAAATTAATTAAATTAAACTAAATAAAATAAAATTGACAATAAAAATAAGTAAATAAAATACAATACATTTAAAAAAATAAAAAAGGGAAACAATTAAAATAGAAAGGAAAAACAAAATAAAACAAAATAGAATAAAATAAATGAAATAAAGTAAGCAAAAAACTAAAATTAAACGAAACTAAAAAAATTAAAATAGAATAAAAAAAAAGAAAAATTAAAAATGTAAACAAATAAATGATAAGAACATAAAATTAAATTAAAAAATGAAATAAAATAAAATTAGATAACAAAGAATAAACTAAAATAAAGTTAAATAAAACAAAAAAAAAAACAGAATAAAATAAAACTTTATAAAATAAAATTAAAATAAAAAATAAAATAAAGTAAAGTAAAATAATAAAAGAATAAAAAAGTAATAATAAAAAAAATATAATAGAATGTATCACAGTGAAATCTAGAAAAGAAAAATAAAATAAAACAATAAAATATAATAAAACTAAATAAAATCGAATGAAATAGAAAAAAAATTAAATAAATAAAATAAAATAAAATAAAATCAAATAAAAAAAAAAAATTAAATAAAATAAAATTATATTAAATAAAATTAAATAAAATAAAATAAAATTAAGTATAAAAACGTCTAAAAAATATTAAAAAAAAAAATGAAAAAAGTAAAAGAAAAAAAAACATCTAAAAAATAATAAGGAAAAAAAAAATTAAAGAAAATAAACAAAAAAAAAAAATAAAAACCAAAAAAAAGAAGAATAAGAATAAAATAAAATAAATTGTGAGTTATAATGAAAATTAATAATAAATGACTTGGATTTGTGGATATCTTACAAAAACGCCTTTACATATGCAATGCTTTGGTTGCGTAAATGCATGCTTCACTTTTGCCAACTATTTGTAGGAGCGCTAAATATTTTGTGCAATTTAGTGATTTTTTCTTAATTTGTAAAGAACAAACACACCACAAAATATTTTTGTTACATTTTTTAATTTTTTTTCTATGTAGTAAAATACAAGCAAAAACGGCTATACAAGTAATTTTAATGTTACTTTCCAGAAGTTAATTGACGAGATTGCTTGTGATAAAAGCTTTCACAGCTGTAAGTGTATGTAGTCTTTCTGTACTTAATGAAAACCTATCCAAAACTATTGAACCATATTTGATCACCCAAGAACTGACAATGGCTGCATCCAAGAGGAGATACAATAGAAAATGGAACATACACATTTCTATTTCACGACAAAACATACGTGAACGTTTAATTCACTTGCTAGCCATACGTCCCATCGAAAAAGTACAGTTATACAAACAATTAGAAAGAGAGGGCGTTACCGACCACCAAAAACGGGATGTACCCAAGGTTTTAGAGGAGATTGCAATTTTAAAAGGAAAGGCTTATGATTTACGCGCTCATATGTGGGATAAGGTGGACAATGATTGGCCATACTATACGATAGAGGACCGCCGGTATATGATGTTACGTAAATATTCCCAAACAACTACTTCAGCATCAGTGACATCCAGCTCAGTTGAGAGCATCAACTCAACAAGTAACGTTAGTTCCACAAATGAAAATTTCCTCACAACTGTTCGTGATAATAGCCATGATAACAAATGCAAGAAAGAGGAATTTGAGTTAGTGCCACAGAAGAAACGGCGTATATGTGATGATTGGGAAACAAAGGAATCTGCACATTCTGAGGACACAAGTTTGATTGTAAATAAAAGCAAAGAGTATGAGATACGAAGAAAATTGCCATATTTTACAGAGGAGGAACGACATCAAATGAAATTGAAAAAGCATTTGCGAACCTCAACATCATCGTTAAATACAGAGTCATCCAACTCAGTTTGGAGTGATAGTTCAACAAGCGGCAGCTTCAGGTCTACAGGTAGCAGCTTCGGGTCCACAAGTAGCAGCTTCGGATCCACAAGTAGCAGCACCTGGTCAAGAACCAGCGGCTTCAGCTCAGCAAGCACCAGCATCAGGTCCATAGATAGCAGCTTCAGGTCCACAGGTACCAGCACCTGGTCAAAAAACAGCGACACCAGCTCAACAGGCTACTATATCAGACCAACAAATAGCAGCACTTGGTCAAAAACCAGCGGCTTCAGCTCAGCAAGCAGCAGCTTCAGGTCCATAAATACCAGCATCAGCTCCATAAGTAGCAGCACCTGGTCAGGAAGCTGCAACGCCAGCTTAACAGGCAACAATATCAGGCCAACAAACAGCAACATTTGGACCAGAAACAGCGACGCCAACTCAGTAAGCAGCAGCACGAGCTCATCAAATGCATATAGAGTTGCACGAAATGAAAGTGTGCCCAATAGATATGAGACCCAGCAGAAAAAGCAAATCGAAAAAATCCAACCAGACGAATTGTTCCCCGCGAACCCGAATGTGCCTTCGGTCAATGATTTTTCGCGCAAATTCGGTTTGCTTTATGAAAAATTGCTTACGCTACCACACGGTGGCGATGATTTTGAGTATTTTGTTAGGCGACTGATCGAATTATAAAATCAACTGAAAAATAGTTACAGTTGGAGTATGACTAAGGTGGTTTTAGGAGATTAGACATAACTTCCAGTTCCTCTAAAAATTTTAATATTTTTAAATTTTTTTTTGGAAACTTGTTTAGGTGATGCTGTAAATAATTTTAAATAACCCGTGATTTATTGTTGTAAAATTTTTAATATATTTTGATATATTTTAATATTTTTTTAGTTTTTAGTTTTGTAACATTATTTTTTGGGCTGCTTTTGTATATTATCTTGTAGCTTAATGACTTTAATATGTTTTATTAAATTTAGTCTTAAATGTGTTCAAAAAAAATACTGTTATTTGCAGCTCAAAACCACAGTAGAAAAAAATTCTCAACTAAAGATTAACTCGAATCTTCCATCGTATTTTATTAGTGATTATTTCATTGTTTTTATTTATTGACACTTAAATTTTATTTTATTTGATTTTATTTTTTAAATTATTTTATTTTCGCTAAGCTTAGAATCCAGCTTTGACGATGTGTAAGAATAATCCATTTTTGACTACCATTTTCTTAGAATTGACCAGTAACCATGTTATATATATACATATATGAGCTATTTCTCTTGAAAGTGGTTTAAGGGTTAAAGCCGAGCCAGGATTTTTTAAAACCCAACATTTTTTTTTTACTTCCGGGTAACTTTGGGTCCCACAAATGTTATGCAATTGATTTTAAAGTGATATTAATATTTCAAATAGCTGAACTTTTTATTTTACTACAGCGCCTCACAATGAAAGCTTTTAACGCGTTATTTTTCTAAAATAACTTTTTATAAAACTGGCAGAATAGATTATTCGAACCCTTCGAATTTTACTGATAGCTTAAAAAAAAAATTTTTTTTTGGAAGCACGTAGCCGTTTTTCGATTAAAGTAAAATTTTATTTATTGATGATTTTTTTCAAATATTAATCTTTTTTTAAAAAAGGTGTGCCGCCATCACAAAAATTTGTTTAAAAATAAATCAAAACACCAAAATTTATGGATCATAAAACTTTTTGCTTCTCTATTCAAGGTCTCATCCTTTAGAAGAAATCGGTCCTCCTGTGAACGCCTCTTAAAAAGCTAGAATTAAATAATGGACTTTAGCACCACAATTTTGTAACAAAATAATAATTAAAGAATATTGTTTAATACTTCAATATGTGGTCAATGAAATGGTTGAAAAGAGTTTGTAATCCTTTTCCGATATTCCCAAAAAATATTTTTTTTAAATTAGTTTATTTTTCAACCTTAACTGGCCTATTCCCATTGTTACCGGCAAAGTAAATTTTGTTACATTTATTTGGCAGCCGGAATTGAATTTGATATTCTGGCGAACTGATCACAATGTTTGAAAAAAATTTGGCAGCACTTATTTTTTCGTCCATGTCAAATTACTTTTGCCAGTTGATAAAGTAAACAGAAAAATATTCACATCGAAATGGAAGACAGTGCACAAAAAAATAAAAAGTTTTATTAATTTGTTTATTAAATCATAAATATTTGAACTTAATTATGGAAAATATGCCTGGACAACAAGAAAAGCTGAATGAAAACGTTATCTTACAAATTAGAGGGCTATTTTTTATTCGCGAACACTTCTTAAAATACGGCTTTTTGCACTTTTTTCTTCATCTTCAATGAATTCCAGTCCCAAAATATGCCTACCCATTTTGGTTTTTTTATTTTTTCTCAAATTTACAACACAACATCAAACAGCAGATATTTTTGTGACCTCCTATTTCGCTGGTAACAAAATTTACAGGGTAACAGTGAGCTCAGAATACGAAATGGTAACAAAATTTACTGAATTTTAATACCTAGGTAAATTTTGTTACCTCGACAGAATGGGCCTGTAAGAGTGGCATTACCCCTTAAGTTAATTTTTTCTTATTGTTTTCAAAAATATTGTTAACTGGTATTTTGTTGTTTTCATGGCTATGCAACCTAAAGCATGGTAGGATATATCACGTAAACTTTAATAGAAAAATTAGCTGTGTTTTAGGACCGCAAATAGACCAAAACCACTTTCAAGGTAAGGAAAGTATAAGTCCATTTAGGAATAAGTCCATTTTGTGTTCTCGTTTTAATATTATAAGTTAATTTTTAAACATAAAGTTACTCCACTACGTTTACATAATTCCAATTTAATTATTATATTTTTGGTTTTTGGGTTTCAGATAATGTCAAGCAGAAATATCTTCCTCATCGCCAAACACCTTTTTTCGAGGCCCTTCTGGAGATCGTCTACTTTAGTTTCATATTAATATTGAACACATTCTTCAAGAGAACTGCATAACAAGTGATTACCCTAATGTTATTGTTTTAAGGTTAGTTTTTAAAATTTTTGGTTTAAGGGGCACACCTAGTGTAATGGACTAGAAAGAGGTGATTTTTGGGAATTTTTATTAAAAAAAATACTTTATGAATTATTTCAATATTTTAAAAATATATTTGCAGTGTATATACAAAGAAATTTTTGAAGAAAAAAATTAAATATTTTTTATCTCCAACGACGCGAAAAGAAAAGGTCCTTCTGCGTGGATGAAATCTAAAAAAAAAATTCTCTACTAGATAATATTGTCTATACAATGACCTACAATAAAAAAAATTAAAAATTGCCAATATGGCGTCGTTTAAAAAAAAAAAAAGAGGAGTTTTCCCAAAATTTTGGTCGCTTATGGCCTGCCGAAATTCGATAGGCCATTGTACGGAGAACTATATATAGAACATGTAAAAAAATTCGATAGTGAACGGATTGTTTGTTTTAGAGTAATCACTGCAGCAAATTCGGAAAATGCTGTTTTCGAGAAAAATGCGTTTAAAGATAAAAATGATCGTTTTCACTCGTAGCTAATGAGACTCTCTAGCTGCCGAGCGGCTGCTCTTTAAATTGCTATAACTCAAAAACTGTTTGAAATATCGATTTGAAATTTTAATATGTTATTTTCAAAGGTGTAATCTACCGAAATATGGAAAAGAGCGATTTTTCTTTGAAATTTCACACTAGGTGTGCCCCTTAATGGTATTTCGCGCTTGCAATGTGCAACCAGAAAAAAATATTCTATTATAATATATTAACTTGATTATGGGTTGTAGCAACAAATTTCATAGTTAAATCAAACCCAAACGTTTTATCTGTTAATTTAACAGATGGTGTTCTGTTGATTTAAAACTTAACAGTTTTACTATAAAAATAACATGATGAGAGTCAACATACATTACTGTTTACAGTTATTCTTCAAGAGAATTTCTGTTACTTATTCAAAGTCGTAATTGTTGTTGTGCTATACATTACAATAACGAACGCGACAGCTGTTGGGTTACTTACATATTTATTTATTACTTACATATATTCTGTTAAAATTTAACATATCAAATCTGTTGAATTAACAGACAATCGAAAACTACTGTACGTTTAATAGAAATTTCTGTTAATGATTAACAGAACTGCACTGCTGCAGATTACTAACAACGATATCACTCAAATTAACAGATTAGTGATTTAATTGGCAGTGATTTCTGACAATGATTAACAGTAACCGTCTGCTGAATCAACAGATAATTTTAACAGGTCAGTTTATTGAAACAACGGATGTCTGTAAATTTAAAATTTTTTTCATATTAATCGTAAGAACTGTTAATATAACAGTTATTAATCCTCTAGGTGTGTTAACGCCGATTGCTTGGGCATTGCATTTCATTTAAATTTTTTTTACTATTAGTGCATCTATCTTTGATTTAGTAATGCCTTTGTGTACTTAAGTTTGCAATTATCCAGTCTTTTCGAAGTCAACACGAAAGAGTTGTGTTATGTTCACTTAACTTACCACTGCCTTAAGTGACCAACTGTTACACAAAAAAAAAGAAAAAAAAAAACCAAATATAAATTTGCGAAACTAATGGATGTTAAAACGAGAGGTTTCAAAGATGTGCATCAAACGAGACGGTTTGAGTGCGAAAAAAGTACGTTTCATTTACTCTTTTCGCTCCTTATTTTCAATACCCACGTACATACGTACATAAACAATCGTAAGCTTATATGGCAAAGAGCTTAATCTTCCATTGATTGTATCTGTTCAGTAAGCGAAGCTGATTTTCCGGCAACAAACACACACGTTTAAGCGCATACATACATACATATCATACATATGTGTATTTATATATACATGTGTATATACATACCTACAAGCATATCAAACAAACTATTTTGCTGCTGTTTCGATTAAAACTTTTTTCATGTGCGATTTTCTCTTTAGTTTCGCATTTCCTTGCTATTCTGCTTCAATTCCAGCTTCAGCTACAGCGTTTGAGTTGCATAGCTTTCGTATTGAAAATGAAATTAAATTCTTGCCAAGTCTTTCCATTTCCACAATTGCACACATTTTTATACATTTGCATATATTCACTTGCACACAAGTGTACACTTGCATACATTCAAGCACACACACACACACAGACATATATATATTCGCATTCATTTCCGCTTCCTACAATTCGTAGTCCCATTTCCATTTCAATGGATAATCATTATGAATAATACAATGCGATACAAAGTTGCTATTTTTGAATGGATAAATAGTAATGGTAGTGCAATAGCAACACCAACAACAACCATAACAACAACCACGACAACAAACAAACAAAACATTAACAAAAAAATTGGTCGCTTGACTATGCAGCGTTTTGTTATACATTGCAACATTATGGAAAATGAAAATAACAACAACAGCAACAGCAACAACAACAACAGCAAAAACAAGGAAGTATACAAAAATTTTGGTAACGGCAACCGAAACGACATACCAAACAATTACCATGGCGTGCTAAAACAACCACATTAAAGAAACGCAAACAACGATACGACTACAACGACAACAAAAACAACAACAAAGGTACCCAGCGTTTGCTAAGAAACAACTCTATAAGAGTATAACAACAGCTACAGCAACAACAATAATAAAATTACCGCAACAATATTTATAACACGTCGGCT